TATTTATAAAATTATAAGTATGAATTGCTCACTGCATTGATACGTCCATGACGATACTGTGAATCTGAATGTTTTGTTAGGAATTATTTCACTTCCGATGTTAGAAATTATCCTCTAAATTATTTAAATACAGGACTCTACTCGGTAACAAACCTTGTTTAATATCAAGGCCCAATTACATGGTTGTTACCATGTAATGTTACCATATAAAATTATAAGTATGAATTGCTCACTGCATTGACACGTCCATGACGATATTGTGAATCTGAATGTTATGTATTGTAAGGAGTTATTCCACTTCCGATGTTAGGAATTATTATCTAAATTATTTAAACAAAAGAAAACAAACCTTGTTTACTATCAGGACCCAATTATACGGTAACACCAAGGTATGCAAACCAACAGCATCATTACCCTTCTCAATGTAACACATGTCAATCTCTCAGCAATACGATCTCCTTGCATACACTAGTGGAGTATCCCAACGAGCATAGTAACAACAGTGAGACTTGTAGAATTACCGACTGATGCCTCTTAGGCGCCTGCGCGATACTTTGTACTACTAGGACGGGTGGGAGATTGCAGTTCTACCTAAATTTGTTTGTATTAATTTTTTACCCTCATTCCCAACAGTATATTATAGATAAGGAAAAAAATGCGTTTCTAAAAACTTTTTTTCTACTTTATTTATTTGGTCTTTTACAAAAACGCTAACTGGCTCGTTTAACTTGAAAGGTTTGCTTACCAATTACTTACCAAGCTAGGCTGGCAGGTCTTCGAAATGGAATTTTTAAATATGAATATAACACCGCCAAACCGCCATTTGTCGGTGGCAAGTCTTATTCCATAGGATGGCATTTGGAGTGTCAAAATTTCGAGTTTTTGCGACCGCGGTTTTGGACCGTACAATCCCTCTTTATAGGTAACTTTCCGAACGGTTATCCATACAAGTAAAGTTAAGACTGTACCTAGTGTATAGGCTATATACGTCCCACTGTTGACCACTGGCCTCCTCTCATTTCTGTGAGGGTTATGGATCAATTAGTCCAACGCGCTGCTGCAGTGCGTGTTATCGGAATATTTTGTTTCTCATTCATGCAGAATCTCTCCATGTTGTACCTGCCTGTCGAGCACGTTATGCAATTATGGTAATGTTAAGCGATTGTTTCAGGTGGCGCATCAGATGATCCAGTCGAACCGTTGCCCGCGCGGGTTCACGGTCGCTTCGCCAGCGGATGAGGAGGCTCAGGCCCCGGACTACCGACACTACAACCTGCATGCTCGTCGAGGAAGCAAGAGCTTACCGGTCACGCCCGCTCACTCCCCCAACTCGAGCCCGACGAGCCGCAGGAAGATGGGTGGCAATCGGTAACTGTTGCACTTTCTCATTTCTTTATCTTTACTTTTAAACTCATACGATTCGATTAGATTACAGTTTCTACAGACTTCAAAAAAGAGCCGTTACTCAATTCGACTGTATGTTTTTTTTTTTATGTGTGTTATCTCATAACTTTTTACTGGGTGAACCGATTTCGATGATTCTTTTTTATTTGAAAGCTGGTGCTACATGTGGTCCCATATAAATTAGGATATTAATATTGATCAAGATCTGACCAATAGTTTTTGAGTTATTCTATAAATTTATATTGAAATCGGTTGAGTACAAATTTTTTAAATTTAAATTATGGCAGATGCTGTCAAGTAAGAATTAAATAAAGGAAACATATGGTGTCTGCCGCATTAACGCTTGAATGGAAATTTTGCGTTTTTTTTAAACTTAGCAGTTTTATTTCATTCCTCTTCACATTTTATATTGTATAAAAACAACCAAAGAACTTAAATGTCTATACCATTTTTCGCGAAATAATTAACCTTTTATTTCTTCTATTTTTTAATAAATTAAAAATATTCTGCTAATTACTAGAAAATAATTTTTCATCTTGTGGCGAAAAAGTCATGGCATTGAGAGATCGTAACCGGGAAATATTAATAGCTGTAAATAACCAAAACGTTTTTGCAAACCGTATACGCGAAAAAGTGAATTTTAATTTTATACATTAAACATGGAGGGGTCATAACACGATTTTGGTTTTTTCTGTTCGAAGTTGGATGGACAACTGTCCATAGCCGGTATTTAGAGACAATTTTAATTTTAAACTCAAAGTTTATAATGTTAAAATTTGTGTAACATTTCTTTTTTACTTCTTTTACTTCACTAGAATTTTCTCCTGTGTCGTGGAGGCAGTTTACAAACATAAATTGCACAAGGACAAACATCCAGATCCGGAACAATTATGTGTAGGCCATACAAATACTTGTTCCGTGCGGGATTCGAACCCGCGGCCCCCAGCGCAACAACTGATTGCTAAGCCACTGCGCCACGGAGTCGTCTAATATATTAACGTCTCATATATTAATAATAACATTATAATATGGTCTAGACTCAAATTTTTCACATTATGGAGTTCGAGTTCGAGATATTCTTTTACTACCGGCCCCATTAAGTTGCAGTATACGGTTAGTACAATATACTCTATAATTATTAAACAATCTATTTAAAGCGAATATTTTGTTAATGATAAAGATAACAATTAGTTTCTAGCAAAAGATGTTTTGAAATTCTACTTAGTAGTAGTTAGTATAAAATTAGTAGAAATATATTGGGGTATTTTTAATGATAATAGATTGGAACGGTTGTTCAACATGCTGTTTTGCTTACGCAATTATTCATTTACCGCAATAAATACATCGTACCGCACAAAACGGTATAGATCAGCTACAATTCGACCATGCCGTATACGTCCCAGTCATGATCACACATTAGTCCAACGTGATAGACGGTAATTACGAGTACATGACAACCAAAATAGTTTCGCTGTAAATTTTATGAAATTCGTTTTTCTACACGAGGAACCCGAATTCATTCCGCATTGATACCGAAATTATTTACAACAAGCGATTTACTTCTTAATGTGGCATTATTAGTAGTTTTAAGATAATCATCAGAAACCATTTATTTCATGCGTATTTCGAGTTCACAAAAAATATTTCTCTATCTGTTCATGCAGTTTCACCACAATAGGTTATTCCATTCGGACGTTTAGCCCGGACACAGACAGACAAAAATTCAAAAATGGTTAATCATGTCCTATTGGCATGGTAATAAAAATAATGCCTTCAGCTAAATAAAAGGCGGTTATTTCGATATTATAGATAGACACTTCAATTTTATTTAATTATATATTTTTTTACTATTATAAGCCAGTGCGTGACTTCCCAACTGATGATAGAATGCATCCGACGATGGTTAAGGGCGCCGACTTAGTTTAACAAAAGTCTATTCAATTCTATTTTGAAGATTATAATCGCTTTGCTTTACGAGTACGCATTATGAACGACGAAGCAAATGATATGTATAAAATAGCAATGTATATGCATAGATAAATAATATTTGTCATCGTGAAAAGATAAATAATATTTGTCATTATGAGAATATCATTTTGATTGTTTAAAAGTTTAACCTCACAATTCATTAGGTCATACAGATATCTGAGTATTTGATTGTTTTTACATTGTAAGCATTTTGTTTGTACCTGTTTAAACGACTAAGTAATTAATGCCAATTTATAATACAGTGATGTCAGTATAAATTTAAATTTGTGTTGTGTGATGTTACTTGTTTAGTAGGATACAACGTCAAACCTGATAATATAATTAAAAAGCAATTATATTTACACTGATAAATTATGTTTTAGAACAAGTCTAATTACTAATTGTAAATAGTAATTACTGTAATATATAGAATATGTATGTCTGTAATATTGAAATAACTGCTTCTATTTAGCTCAGGGCGTCCTTTGCATGCTATTAGGACATGAACAATCACTTTTAAAATGTTTGTGTGTCTGTCTGTCTATGTTTGTCCGGGCTAATGTTCCGAATGGCTGAATCAATTGTGATGAAACTGCACATACAAATAGAGACCAATATTAGGAGCGAACTATGTTATATCCGCAAAACATGCAAGATTTCTTGTGAAATCAAAAAACTGATGCAATAAATGGTTTTGATTATCTCATAAACTATGAAAGATTATGTATATAAAAAACTTCGAATAAAACTTTGTTGTTTGTAGTTTCACTATAAAAGGTCCTTTCTTTTATCTTATATCTCAAAGTTTTGATGCTAAATCGATTTTCAACAATTTTTTTTTACTTTAGCACCAATTTACAAGTTAAAGGATACCAAAGGAGCTAAAAGATAGGTGACAAGAGGTTTTTTACGTGAATTTAATAGTTTCAATTTTTATATTAAACATTTTCTCATATCGCACATACTTTTCGAGAAACTAATAAAAAAAACTGAGTTTAAAGTGGTTTTTCGATATTTGAAATACTGGCTCAAAGACTACTATTACAGACCTGTTTTTTTTTTATTAAAATGCGTAGCGTCGTCGGTCGAAGGGGAAGGTCGTAGTCGCGGGTACAAGCTAGTATGATCACGTACCTGGCTAACCGATAGACGTCTAGAAGATGATAATTTTAATGTATTTCTTTATTATTGCTGATACAAATATTATACTTACGCTCGTTTTCTGATAACAATATCTGTGCAATGTTTACAAACAAGCTCGTGTAATCGAAAATCACAGGCCAAACGATTTTTAGGTTGTAGTAAGAATGGTCAACGTTCTTTCATTAGCTTTATGTCAAATAAATTGTTGATCGGCCAAAATCACAGGTCAAATGGTTTTTAAGATATTCGAGCAATCAAGTGAGTTGTTTTCGAAATCAAGTGATTATAGTACTGATATGTATTCACTTCCCAGATGCCTATGGTATGGTAGATCCATTACCCCATATCATCCCGTGGGTGTCATGAGAGGCGACAGAAAACAGAAGAAAAGAATAGCGATAATTCAGCAGATATAAACCATCAGAATTTAGCAAGTTGAATTTTTAGTTACTAAAGTCACGCATCATCATCATCATCATCATTACAGCCCTTCACAAGTCCACTGCTGAACATAGGCCTCCCCCAAGGAATGCCACAAAGCACGGTCCTGTGCCACCTGCATCCATCGACTTCCTGCATATCTTACCAGGTCGTCACTCCATCTAGTGGGGGAACGCCGGTACGAGGCCGCCACTCGAGAACCTTTTTTCCCCAACGATTGTCGGTTCTTCGAGCTATATGGCCGGCCCATTGCCACTTCAGCTTACTAATCCGTTGGGCTATGTCGTTCACTCTGGTTCTATTGCGGATATCTCCATTTCTAAGTTTATCACGCAGAGAAACTCCGAGCATAGCCCTCTGCTGAGCGACCTTGAGCTTCCTCATCCGGCCAGCAGTGAAGGACTTGGCAACTTGGCATCGCTGAAGAGACTGCAGCACCGTCCAAATTTCGATGGAATCAAAGGCTTTCTCATAGTCCACATACGCCAGACATAGTGGCAAATTGTACTCCTCGGACTTCTGTACAATTTGCCGAAGGGTATGTATGTGGTCTATGGTACTACAGCCTTTTCGGAAACCGGCTTGGTCGGGAGGCTGGAAGTCGTCAAGTCTGCGAGCGAGACGATTCGTAATGACTCTCGAAAACAGCACGTAGACGCGGCTCAGAAGGGAAATCGGTCTCCAGTTATTCCACTACCATCGCACTTCTGCTCCACGCCTCCGGTGTAATGCCACCATGGAGGACGGAATTAAAGAGCTTCTGAAGGACTTCAAGTACCGGTTTTCCACCCGCTTTCAGAAGCTCCGCTGTAATTCCATCCTCGCCTGGGGCCTTGCCGTTTTTAAGGTGCTGGAGAGCCATTCTAATCTCGCTCAGACTGACGTCCGGGATATCTTCGGAATAATGTCGGATAAGACTCGCTCTTGGATCGTTACTCACACTCGCGTGTGGCTCCAACGATGACGTGTACAGCTGCCCATAGAACCTCTCAGTCTCACTCAAAATCTCAGGTGCCCCGGAAACGATGCTGCCACATTCTGTCTTCAGCTTTGACAGTTGGCTCTTTCTGGCAGACAGATCTCTGGCAAAGACTGGAGGCCTGGTTCTGCTCGATCGCTTTTTCAATACGAGCTGTATTGAAGTTGCGTAAGTCCCGCCGCATGCATTTGGAGATCTGTCTGTTCAGTTGCCTGTATGCTGTCAAATCTGTTGAAGAATGTAGCTTCATCTCCCGTCTAACAGCCATGAGATTAAGAGTGTGATCGGAAAGTTTTTGTGTTCTTCTGCGGCGGATCTTGCAGAACTTAGTTCCGACCGCATGGACAGTTCCCAAGAGCTTGTCATTCATATCGTCCACTGCATTGCAATCTTCTAGGCACTGAAAACGGTTTCTTAGCTCGAGCTGAAAGGTTTCGGGACTTTGGATTAGAGCACGATTAGAGCGTTGACTTCATTAGACGTGACCTCTCCAACTTAACGTTTAGGTTCAGTGTGCCTCTTACCATTCGGTGATCGCTGCCGGTTTTCACCCTCGCGAACACTGAGACATCACTGAACAGTTGTCGTCTGGTCGTCATAATGAAGTCAATCTCATTTTTTGTCGAACCGTCGGGGCTCGACCAGGTCCACTTCCTGTGGGGCCGCTTCTGGAAGAAAGATTTCATCATAAAAAGTCCCTCTTTCTCCATGAAGTCGGCCAGCTGCTGCCCCTTGGGTTCCGTTGCCCTATTCCGAAATTCCCTACTTTCAGCTCACCGTTCTCTCTTGTGCCTAGCTTTGCGTTGAAAGTCACGCATAATTCAACTGCATTGTTAATTTATGCCTAGGTATTTATGTTAAAATAATACTAACCGGCTATTGTATATTAACCAAAATCCTAAATTTTGTCAAATCAATGACTACATGAATATATCGACAAAGTATTTTGTTTCGCTAATGGCACATCACTTGCAATGTTTATGAAATGAAAAAAAAAGCTGCAACCCTGTGAATGAGGGCAATTAACAATAACACAGTTATATATCTTATTTTGTACCACGTAAATGTTTCATTATCGAAGTTCCATAGTAAATATGCGAACTAAAGTGTAAAGTATGGAACTTGACAACAAATATCAAATTTTGCGAAGACTGTGTTGCAACGCAACTGAAATGATTTATAACACGCTTTTGTTAGTTGATTGTGTGTATGTAGGTATTTATGTATGTGAAATTGTGCAGACCTACCGATGACAAAACAATCATTTGATGACTGTGATCTATTTGCACTAAGATCATCACAGCTCATGATAAATGCGTGTTTAGTAGCGATGGGCGTTGAATGAACGAACTAGTTAATCCGACCGTCGACGTACTGTGAACGAGGAGACGGTTTACGAACAATGAATAGACTAGTCACTAGTCGAATCCGTAGGCTCCTAAATTGAAACTATGACGTTCATTTCGACTAGCAACGCGATGACTGACGCGAGAACGTGGTCGGATAATATTAGTTCATAATATGACTTCATATTATGTTCGTTGAAATGACATATTTGCATACAAATTATAATAACTCTAAATGTAGATAGCGTAAGAATATAAATAGCTGTTTGTTATTGTGTTAGGCGAAGAAAAGGATACCGTCGTAGTATTAACGCGTGTGCAAAAGAGAAGGGCTTAATAAAAAAGCCTTAAAACATCATGCCGTTACACTAGTCTACGGTCTAAGTATGTCGACTATGTCGAGCCATAGACAAGTTTAAATTTAAACGTTTGCAAAACAAAGTTGACAAAGAACAATGGCTAAATTTCTATAGGAGCTGGACTTGACTTTTATTTTTCAAGTCCCAAAACAAACTATAGCTAGTTTGGTTTGTTTTTATGTTGTAAACACCATCCCATTTGAAAATCATATTGAAATAGCCACAATTTTTTATAATAACGTCGTATAACGAAATCATTAAATTTAAATCATTTTGGAACAGTTACAAAACAAAAATAAAAGGATAACTTTTTTGTTGCTACTTAGAGAGGTAGTTTTTGTGTTTTTTAAGACCTTAAAAATAAGGATATTTTTCATAAATATCGCATATAGTGACCCCATCGTTTTGTCGTCTGGTACGATTTGAACAACCTTCTTTAACTATTTGATCGACTAGTCGAGGAACGAATATGGACGGTTTAGTTTCGTTAACGACAAATACGTCGACGACTCATCGCTAGTATTTAGGTTGTTTTTAAATTTCAATATTATTTTATCTCAAAATAAGGACGACAAATGAGGACATTATATTGTATAGTCAATTTAATCTGTGCTATAGTGCATTTTAGGATTGCACTTCTTTACGACATCGTGACGGCGGTGAGGTACAGAGTGCGTCAAATAATTGGCGATTCGGCATTACTCTATCCACGCAATATCGCTTTACCATAATATTACCTTACTTAAAAATATATAATAATAATTTAATGGCTAGGTTATTGGCGGTATACTACAAGTCGTAGTTTCAAATTTCGCCCGGACTGACGTAACAGAAACAGAAACAGAAACAGAAACTTTTTTATTCAATATAGATTATAAATAATACTTATTGAAAGTCACTCTTTTGTATGATTACCACTGGTTCGAAAAAAAAACCTCTGTCCTGGGAAGAACCAGCAAGAAACCCAGCGGGACTTGTTTTTTAAATAACAGCTTACAATCATGTATGTTACACAAATTAACAACACAATAAATTAGAAATAGCTTGGTAGCGATCACCTCATTTCCAGGGGTTATTATCATCTATAAATTCATTAATATTATAATAACCCTTTTTATACAAATTTAGTTTAATAAAGTTTTCGAACTTTGAGCAGGTCAAATTTTGTATATTTTCTGGAATTTTGTTGTAAAAGCGTATACATCGCCCCAAGAATGAATTACTGACTCGATGGAGTCGAGTAACTGGTACTACTAGCTTGTGTCTGTTCCTAGTATTTACAGAATGGATATCACTTATTTTTGTGAAGCTACTTTTATTTTTGTGTACGTACATTACATTTTCATAAATGTATTGAGAGGTCAAAGTTAATATATTAATTTCCTTAAATTTTTGTCGCAGCGACTCTTTAGGCTTTAAATCATAAATTGCTCTTATGGCCCTCTTCTGTAAAACAAATATAATTTCAGTGTCAGCTGCGTGTCCCCATAGCAAAATACCATACGACATTATGCTATGGAAATAGCTAAAGTAAACTAGTCTAGCTGTTTCAACACTAGTTAGACTTCTAATCTTTTTTACGGCATATGCTGCAGAACTAAGTCTGCTTGCTAGTTTTGATATATGGGGGCTCCATTGAAGCTTCGCGTCTAGTGTGATTCCAAGAAAAATGGTGGTATCTACAAGACTCAGTTTCTCCCCATTTAAAATTACATTAGCATTTAATTGTTTGACATTTGGAGTCATAAATTTCATACATTTCGTTTTAGTGCCATTTAAATGCAAATTATTAACATTGAAGCAATTTACTAATTTAGATATAGCATTATTTACTTCGTCATATTTTAGCAATTGTCGACTTAATTTGAAAATTAAAGAAGTGTCATCTGCAAATAATACTATATCATGGTTTTCTCCTACTATGTAAGGTAAGTCATTAATGTATACAAGAAACAGAAAGGGGCCGAGAATTGAGCCTTGAGGCACGCCCTAGTACCATCGACCCGGAAGAACTCATACCGTTAATGACAACTTTTTGCGTTCTCTTACTTAAATATGAAATAATTAATTTAAGAGCATCACTTCTTACACCGTAGTGTTGAAGTTTCCTGATTAAAACGTATATTAATTACCTTAATTATTAAAAAAATTATCGTAGAAATTAGTTATTACGTTAATGTAAATGTGTCGGCTTTGACTGCGAAGCCTTATGGTCAATATAAGAGAAATTTTGTGATGAATGATAAAATAACTGTAGAGAAACGTGGTGGAATGTTTCTTTGTATATTAATATTTTATTTTAGGTTACAAATTTATCATTATAAAAAAAATATATCGTAGTTGCGGAATGAGTCCTATCAGAGTTACACAATCGCACTCCTAATTAATTTTAACAGTTTCCCTGTCCGCGATATAGACACAATAGTGAAACAATCAAAATGTTCATATATGATTCATGGGGCAGGGAAACGGTTAATCGGCAATAGCTTTTTAAAACTTATTTATTTGAAGATGTATTAACACATTGCATCAGTCCGGTTACATTCCACGGCTGTGGACGCCGCTTCTCTGGTATATTATCATATTATTACATCTGGTATAAATACGCGATTATTCAAAAGGTCTTCGGGAACTTTCCTAAAGTTGCCAATACGACAAACATGGAGGGAGTATGGTAGTTTTAGTTTCTTAAGCTGTCATAACACGGCACAATCTGGTTCAATCTAATCATACCAGTCCCGAGCAGAGGTGCAATATAGCCAGCCTTTCGGTGTTCCACAATACTTTTTTTGCAGACTACGAGAAAATAACATTACGTTAGTCTAAAATCCAAATTATGACTAATCTGTGTGTAACCATTAAAAAAATAATTTGATGTAATGACAGTCTATGCATTTTTTTAGGGTTTTTATTTCAAAGTTTAAACCTACGCGTAGTGGTAATAGGGTATAATATTTGTTAACAGTTTCTTTACGTCGCCGTTCGAACCGGTGGAAGATTCAAGCAATCGCTCCTGGCTGACAATGGCGTTGCTCGGTTTCAAGAAAGAACTCACCACTTCCAGCTCAACTCTCACCGAGGAAGATGCAGTTGAAACCAAATTGTACGGTGAGTATCAATAGGTCATATTTATTTGATTTTGTGTCAGTAGTCAATGAGGGGTGTGCTATTTAAAACACACTGCTGTGATGATATTTTCTGAATGATAATTAAAAATCATTACCTAAAAAAACACGAACCTCCCAAGGTCACGTGTCTGTGAGAGAATTAAAAAGAAAAAGACTGCGATAAAATTGCATATAAAAGATTATAGACCCCTAATTGTGTGTTAGGTTATAAAAAGGTGGACTTAATGAACACTCCTAATCGAGAATAATTTAAAAATCATAGTGTACAAGGTAAGTATTTAAATATAATTTTAGACTTTTACCTATGTAATTGTCGTTTGTTATGAAATAAGTTAACGTAATTATTTTTCTATATATATTTTCATTTCTATTAATCTAAGTAATCGCCCATGCAATCGATGCATCTTTGCTAACGCAGTGGCAATTTATTAATGCCCTTGAATAAATCAGCTGGACGGGAGGCAACAAATTCTTCAAAGGCATTTTGTACTGCCACTCGGCAAAATGAATTTTTTCCCGCCAAAAACTTTTTTTATAGGATAGGTTGACAAACGAGCACACAGTCCACTCTATGGTAAGTGGTTGCTGTGGCCCATAGACCTCTACATCTATCCTCGTTTGCGAATCAAAATGCAGATGCGTTGTCACTTGTCACCCGTGAGGATTAAGATGGAATGGCTCTTTTCCAGTAAAAAGGGTTTCCGGTTCTCTACACTCACCATACGAAACAGCTGTGTTAAGCTGCTATTTAACGCTGGTATTCTGTGAGAGCGTGGTTCCTCCCCGGTTGAGCCGAGCCATTCGTGCTACAACTATACTACTAATATAGCTTCATCATGGCTCAACCACGTATAGTTATCTAAATTCCGGAAAAAGTAGAAGTCTGTAGACGCTAGGTCTGGTGAGTACGGCGGATGACGGAGAGCTTCCAACGCCAGCTCTTATAACTTGGAGATCATTTGTTGTGCAGTATGAGGTCGCGTGTTGTCGTGCAGGAGCAGCGGGGACGAGCGATTGACCAAATCTGGTTGGAGACGTGCAAGCTGCTCCATTATTGTGTTCAGTTCTTCACAATACATATCTGCAGTAATGTAAAGCTGTCAAAAGGAATGTCACAAATCCAGGGGGAGGGCGTTCGCCCTTAACGGTCTTTTCATAATAGAGATTGGGCTAAAATAATTCTAGTGCGATTTCTATCACTAACATTGATAGAATTTTTTTGTAATTAATTTATCCACTTTTGTGCTAAGTCAATCTTAAATAAAGATGCAACTCTTCTTATAGGTATTCACCGCGTGTTTGACCTATAAAATAAACATTGGGAATAAATAAGATCTGAGAAATTAAATATCAAGGACACACATTGGAGATTATTAGATTAGAATTTTCGAGTTGTGCCCAACATTAGGATGTATGTGGGATTACAGTTAGTAAATCCACATACATCCTTGCACATAACACCAAGACATAATACAATATGTATAAGACAAATTGGTTGAGTACTCTGCATAATTCAATTACTATTATTATTAATTAAGCACTTTTGTTTCCAGGTGGCACACTAGCAGAATCCGTCGAAAATTTGGGTCCATCCCCCAAGGGTAAAGAACCTAACGTTATATCAACCGAAACAAGCACACAAAAGTCGGTACTCGGCAAACCGGCTCACGCCTTTCGTCCCAAACCCTCGGAACTCCGGGAAATGAACTTTTGGTCACCAACCTCCATGTAAGGTGTACCATTTTGTGTACACTTATTTTTCTGTCGTATAAATTATGTATATAATGCATATTTTATTACTTTAATGATATTTAAAAAAAAAACAGTATTTTCGTAATTACAGATTCGGTTATTATACTGAACTTGTACGACATCTAGTACTACTTAAGAGGGTATTTAAGTGTATAATTTAAATTCATGAATTAATAATTAATGCTTATCAATATGTAACCGATAACAGAAACTCTTGAACACGTTTGGTTGGTTAATTTGGTATTATTCACCTTTATACGTGATTTATTTCATGCACTTTATATAATATTTAATTTATCACTATTATGTGTATATCACATAATAGTGATAAATTAAATATTATATAAAGTGCATTTTCATTATTTTATTTAAGGAAAGAAAATTTTTTATATAAGGTGATGAAATTCAAATTTTGCAAAATAAAAAAAAACGTAAATTAAAAAAAACTTTAGTGGAATGATATAATCTGATTGGTTTTGTTACAGGAATGAATTTGGTTGTTAATATGTATGGCAAGTTAAAAGTATTGTAACTATTTTTGAACTGTTGCCTGATTAATATCTATGTATGTACAGGGTTATTTTGCAATATACGCCCAAATTTGCAGAGATGGTTCATAATAAGTAATATAAGGTGAAGAAAAATTAATTAAAAATCTTAAACATTCTGTCATTTTTATCTTTTAAATTCAGAATGCGTGGTAATGAATTATTTTATCTGACTGTCATTTATCAATATCTAACGCCTACTATTTTACTACGCGCGCACACATTCGTAAGGGTCAAATGGATGGATAATCTATACAAATAAATAAAATTGAAGTGTCTGTTTGTAATGTCAAAATAACAGCTTTTTACTAATTGCATATGAAAGTATATACGGTACTTATAACAAAACACAATTTATAACATTTTTAACTTAGGCTACTTATATTTTAGAAAAATGTTTAGGGTTCCGCGAAACAAAATTATAACACTAAGTTACACGCGGGCGAAGTCGCGGGGAACAGCTAGTTTCATATAAAAGTAGAAGTCTTATTTACTCGTATTTTCTAAAACTGCAATAACGGTATATCATCTAAAGAAATAAATAAAATTGGGGTGTCTGTTTGTAATGTCGAAATAGCAGCTTTTTACTAAATGCATATGAAAGTATATGCGGTACTTATAACACAGCAATTTTTAATTTTTTTGTCTGTCTGTTTGTTCTGGCTAATCTCCGAAACTACTGGACCGATTTTGATGGGACTTTCAAGGGCAGATAGCTGATGTAAGGAGTAACTTAGGCTACTTTTATTTCAGAAAAACAATTAAGGTTCTGCGCAAAAAAAATTAAAACCTAAATTACACGCGGGGGAAGTTGCGGGGAATATCTAGTTATTTATATATATGAACTTAAATATGAAATTTAGACACTCTTTGAAAAATAACCCTGTATATCTTACGAATGGTGTTTTCTTGTATTAAATGACTTAAGGTTTAAGTTATAAGAACACTGCTAATTTTAAGGTAGTAACATGTAACGGTTAGAATTAGTTACTTTAAGAGTGTAATTTCACAAGTTTTGTAAACTAAACAGAAGTAAAGAAGAATGAATTAATCATGAGCAGAAATTGTGACAAAATATATCTTATGTATAATATGGGTTTGTTATTTAATTAATAATATTTTCCATATTTTGCATTAGAAGTTATGATATGTTTAAAAAATAAACAATTATCTTCGTATAATTTTGTCTTTTATATTGTATTCATATAAGCAATAAATCCGTGGTTCTGCAATGCTGGCCGTAGGAGGAAGCTCAAGCTAGCTAAAGTGTTTGTACAATAGGGCTACGATGGCTATCCAAGTACAGGACCAGAGTACGAAACTCATCTAAATCCAGAGAGGTGACGTAATATCTCCGAAACTTTTCACCGCTGCATTGGAAGTGGAAGACGTTTTAAAGTTACTAAATTGGAAAGCATACGGTATTAACATCAATGGAGAAAATGAAGATGGCGAGTACATCACTCAACTTTGATTTGCCGACGATATAGTCCTTATGGCAAAATCGCTAGAGGACTTAAGCACTATGCTCAATGACCTCAATAGTGCCTCCCAGCGGATAGGTCTTAAGATGAACTTGCATAAAATAAAGGTCATGTGTAACGTCCACAACACACATATGATGGTAGTTGTACCATATAGTTCGAAGAACAGACAACCGATGGAGAAGAAAGGTTCTCGAGGGGCAGCCTCGTATCGGTAGAAGAAGTGTGGACACTAGATGAATGACGGACGACCTGGTCAGCCATGCAGGAATTCGATGGATGCAAGTGGCTCAAGACCGTGCTTTGTGGTATTCCTTAGGGGAGTCCTATGATCAGCGGTAGACTTGTGAAGGTCTGTAATGATGATGATAATGAGGAAACAATGAAATGATATACGGACAAGCTTATTTTTAATAATGCCAGTATAAATTTAGTATTTTTGAAGTGAAAACTTCTTTAGCCGCGTTGAGTGATTTTTGGTAGGGGAAAAATACTAAAGACCCCCGCACACTAGGCAGTCTGGCTGCGCACGCCCGTCGAACATATGACGGTGTATGGGAGCCTGCGCACCTAAGCAGCCACGAACTCCCGGCTGCGGTAGCCATAAAAGCGCGCCTGATTGCACGGCAGCCCGTTAGCTGCGCGCAGCCAGAGCGAGTAGGCGAATGTATGTAGCTCAGTGTTGCCAACCGTACGATTTAAATCGTATTCATACGATCTTTTAGGCCCTAGTACGATGTACGATCATGTATTCGAAATCGTACCCAAAATATACGATCTTTTCAAATCTTCTATCTTTATAACAAAATAAAAATGATAATTGATTAAGTTCATTTTATCGATATGAAAAATCAATAATTTCAAAATTGAACGAGCTCTAAGCTTCTTCTTTGTAATTTTTCATGAACGCATCCAATCTCATAATTTTTTAAACTCTCTATTCCTCGCGCAGTTTAAGGAAGAAGCTACAGGGTAGCCCGCGAAATTAAAATTTTCTTACGTTTTTTGCAATTTGCAGGTCAGTGTCAGGTTATATGTTTAACAAAATATGATTCGCGGTCGTAGCGAGTAATGCGTTTACAGAATTATAATCATTATAATCGTCAATACAACCCTCTAAGTTCGTATAATCCCATTGTATGGCTATTTCCAGAAAAACTCAGTCAAAGGGATTTTTCACCTTAACCGCCGGAAGCTTTCACCTTAACCGCCTTTCTTCGAGTTTGTTTTAGGTCATTCTATTCGTTCTAATCGAAATAATATTAAACTACCTACGCAGATAATCATATATTACATATTTTTGTAAAAGATGGCAGAGTGAACACAGTCCGAGCCCATATTTTTAATAAAAAAAAAAGTAGTAAAGTTTAGTGTCAGATTCTTAATTGTTATATGGTTATATGTACTCTAAATGTAAAGTTTTGCTTTGACGTTATAATAATATTATTTTGTATTTTTTTACCATTATTTTATTGAAATATTGATGCGTACTATCTTTTTTGTTGAGATCTTAGTAAAATACGATCTTTTTCAGTTTATGGTACGATCTCCTAAAAAATAAAGTTGGCAACCCTGATGTAGCTGCCGTCAGTCACCGCACACTTGTCGTAACAGCCAAACATATTTTGTGTTCCGAAACCACAAAATGACTTGATACCGATAAATTTATTCGCGAAATTGAAATCCGTATAAGAAGAATGCGTCCATTGGCTGTTTAAAAGTGGCTGCTCAAATATTTCGGCCGCCGCAGCCTGGCTGCGCAGCCAGGCAGCCTAGTGCGCGGGGGCCTAATGGATTCGCGTCATCGATGAAGAGCCCGATGACATCTGTCACGAGCGGCCTTTGTACGTGTATGTATACACATATATCATTGAGTTTTCACTTCTGTCGGCAGTCCTTATGGATGCCTCTGTTTTCTTTAAATTAATGTTATTGTTTCAATAATCAAAGTTAATGAATTTAATGATGCTATAATTATTTTTATAATTATAAGGACCACAGAATTAAAATCTTTCACCATGTTGCTGACATTCACTAAGCTAATTTCATTTTGAGGCATCCATACTTCTCAAAATAGAACAAAATCCACAGAAAAAACAAATTGGCTACAGAAATAGGTAAGAAGATTGTACCTAACGAAACGATCTCATATGTCGAAAGGTGCTCGCCCTATTTTATTTAGACCTTAAGTTTATTTTATGTATAATACCAATTATGTAGTAAACCTTCACAAAAAGAGATAACCTAGTTAGAATGTTTAGAATTAAGTAAAATAACCTCCTGATGTCAACTTAATCGTTTATTTTCTCCTCGTCTAACTTTCTATCAAAATATTTGTAATGACGTATGTTGATATGTATATACATGGTGTATACCAAATAGGAAATAATAATACAGTACGTACGGCTAAAGAATGGGATTAGAAATGGCAGCTCATCGATCCTGTATCGTCAAATGCACAGTGCCAATAGTGATAACCCGCAAATAACGGTACATAGTTATAACGTTATATTTTTTGGTTACTTGGACATTTTCTAATAATGGGAAAATATTTGTAAGAATAGGATGTTTTGCACCATGTAAAAAAAGTATTTATGATGGGTTTTGTAAAAAGTAAACGAGAAATGTTGATAATTTTATAAATTAATTATAAGAATATTTTTTTAAAACATTCAAAACGCAATCCGCCATATTAGATTCCTTCGTGACGTCACTTTTATAGTAAACAAGCTTATGTTGTGTATTAAAATCTTCATCATTACAGCCCTTCACAAGTCCACTGCTGAACATAGGCCTGCCCCAAGGAATGCCACAAAGCACGGTCCTGAGCCACCTGAATCCATCGACTTCCTGTATGTCTTACCAGGTCGTCACTCCATCTAGTGGAGGGACGCCCTACACTTCGTTCGCCGGTACGAGGCTGCCACTCGAGAATCTTTTTTCCCCAT